TCCATATATGGTCCGGACCCGACAACTTTGCTTATCTGACATTCTGTGGCCCTCTTTCCGCGACAGATGTCGGGAGGAGTATGGATTCAAGCACGGCATCAGCGGTCTCAACGGCATTGCCGACAATGCGAGTCCGAAACTCGGTTTCTTCAGTGAAAACGGAGGCAAAGTACTACCCCAAGTGGTCGACTTTCTCGCTGTTTTCGACGATTCTACACCATCTTCATCCTTCATTACTGCGACTGGTTACTTGTTTTTTAATGTACTGTTAATGTAGTGGAATAAAATACTGGGCTTTTGATCAGCCTGTTAGATTATTCTGGATTTATACAAATTCCCTTTGGTGGTCTGTAAAATGTCAGGAATTCTAGGTTTTTTTGCGTTACTCTTCTTCGTCTGTATCCAGGCGGACTCATATTTAAGGGAAAGGGAGTGGGCTTGTTCAACTGCAAAAATTCCTGTCCTAACATATACGAAAACCTCACCACCCTCTCGATTTTTACGGTCTCTGCGAAAGAGCTGGTAGACCCGGATCGAAATCTCGGCATCCCGGAAATTTCGGATATAACCGATATCTTCTCTTTCGGTGAGATGCTAGAGAGATTCCTCAGCTTCTTCATCGCTACTTAGGCTCTTACTTTCCTTTTCCACTTTCGCATATTTTGAAGAAGTCCGAAGCATGTCTTACAGGCCTCGTCTTCGCACTTGACATCCATCCAGGTTATTAAACTCCTTGCTCGTTTGGCGGGAGTTGATGACAACGAAATATACAGAGTTGCAGCCATTTTTATCGCAACAAATGTTTGTCGCTTTATTTATTTCAGCCCGGGCACTGTGTGCCGGCAGTCCACTGGTAACCTCGTTGCTTATACCGCGGCAGTGCTTGGATTCAAATCCCATCTGTGATGAGTTTTGGTACCTCGTTCTGAAGGCGTTTTGTCGACTCCGATTAATAATTCAAAGAATGTGCAGTGTATTTAAAGTGTGGATCGAAGTATTTTAACTCGACCAACCGTAGGAAATAAATAGCATAACGATTCAGCCGTCTGTAGAGTAAGAGTCCGTGTCTGCTAGCAAATGCAGAGGTGACCGCCATCAGGATAAAAAAATCCGACCTTGTGAACACAGAAGAACCCGGTACAATCTTCGGGCGCACCGTGGCGAAAGGTCAGTAATCTGCATTCATCCCTCCGTGCTCCTCACTTCCCCTTAACACTTTCTCTCTCTAACCCACTGTCCCTTATTCCTCTGCTAGCCTTCTACCCCCCACTTGTGTAAAAACAATGTACTAGAATCAATTCACATGTCGTTCTCAAACCTTCTTGTCATATAAATGAACTGGCTCGTTAAGAACTTACTGAAAGCACATGTGTGCTCCTCAGCTAGTCTTCAGCGAACTTAGATGATTGGCAATGCGATCTCACGTTAAGCCCTAGTCGAGAAAAGCCGGGCAGAACTGCAACGTCAGAACGGACCCAACTGTCCCCGCTACCCCTTGAAGAACAAAGGCAATGTGCAACAAACCGGTTAACGAACCCGAAACTCACATCCTTTGGAGTGTGTCGTAGCAGTGTTCCATAAAAACAAACTTAATCAAGCATTTCCTGAAATCAAATTAAGACTTCATCGAGTGTTTGTGCTTCCCATTATCGACCATGGTTGCTCATTCTTTGGTTTCATAAACGAGGCTAGGCGTTCAAAAATTGAAAATGTTCAAATACATTTTACAAGAAGACTCTTAGGGACGGAACAGCCAGATATCTTTTACTCAGATGGATGCCAGATAACTAACCTAAAATGTTTATGGGTTCGAAGACTAGAAGCAGGCTTCTGTCTCCTCTTTCGCATCAATAATAGTTCAAATCTTCCTCGAATTTCAGCTCTTACCCCTAGTAGTCGCCCACACAATCTTCGCAATTCTTCCTTGATTATACCTCCCCCTCTTCCTCCACATCTAAGCGTTCTCTTTCTTCGCGTCCAGCTATGCTTTCCTCTGGAATCTCCTTCTAATAAATGTAAGATATTCAGATAACTTACGCCTTTTTAAGAGAAGGCTGCGCCTTTACCTGAATACTGACCCGATTTACCTTTTATTTTCCTCACCCTTCCCGAACAACTTTCTCCATGACACTGAGAAAGGACCACCGGGACTTCAGGACGCCGCCACTAACTTTCTGTATCCGCTCACATTTCCTTCTTTTGTGTGTGGTATCGCTTCCTAGGACCACTCATCAGAAATGCTTATTTTTTCGATTTTTCAGTTCATGTATCGTGCCCCTCACAGAATTCGATGGCCTTCCTGAAAAATTCTCTTAAAGAAATTGCTTGGCGAAGTCGACGTGCACGCTCTAAGCCGTCTCAGTTTCGCTGATCGCCAACACTCGTCAGAATTCCACTCTGGCCCAGCAATTTCACACCCTCGTCCCCCAACTGTTTAATTTTGGGGTTATTGAGTTAACCTCCTCATTTCGACCCCAAGCGGTCTATCGACGCTCTTGGCGGAACCCTCTGTATTCGCCACCTACTAGTAGTTTGGCGCATCTCCCTTGGCCTCTCCTCGTCTGGGCTCGAAGCGGAGTTTGTCCGATCCCGTCTGGGTACCTCTCGTCCCGCCACTTTGACGTGAATTACCTCATCCGGCATATGAACTCTGCCTTGATGATGTCCGTTTCGAACCTTTTACTTAATACTACATGCAGGCCAGTCCTGCATAACGCGCAAACTTACCCCTTCATGAAATCCGTTATACACTGCCACATTTAGGCCGGTTCTGCCCGCTTTTGATCCTTTCGTGAGCGCCAGTTTTTTTCTCCTGTTATGTTAATCCAGTCATATTCACTTTATTTAATAGGTTGGAGTTTTTTTCACGGCCCGCTCACCATCCTTCGTAACAGACTACTTATTCAATATCTATGAATTAAGTATTGTGTAGGTTCTGCCTACTTGTTATAAAATTCACATAAAAATTATTCTTGCTTGCTATAATCGGACCCTCATGGGTCTTGAAAAAAAACATTATTTATTTATTTATTTACAGATAAATGTGAGTTTGGGAAATGCTTAACAGATGGAATAACTGCATAAAGTTTTGTGTAAACAAAAGTATGAAAAAGGGCTGCCACAGGCCTTCTGAACGATAATTTTGGCCGACTCAGCAGGTGCGGTAAGTTTAGACAGATGATGTGGGCGCAGTTTGCTTCTCTGGCATTCGCCATACTTCCGGCGGAAAATCATTCAAACAAACCTCCTGAGATATGGGCTGAGATTTCGGAGCAAGTGGTGGTTTTAGCTCTTTGTACATCGAATTCTGATTCGACTGGCAAAAACAGTCGGATTGATGTGCCGAAGATTTAAAAGTCAGTAATTGTTTGTCTATGTAATAGGAAATTACTGAATGGCTGAGAGAAGCTATTTTTTTTATTCTACCAAACAGCTGAAGTGCTTTTGTTTTTACGCCGGTCACTCGAGGTAAACATATTTCGCAATGATTTCAAGTCCGTGCTGTCTCGCAGTCGCCTTTACCCGAGTAACTTTGCCCAAACTGCATTTCATACTCGAGGTACTAAATAAAACGACTTTTGTGGATATGGCGCTTAATTCTGTAAGTTATTTCTAAGAGCATTTCTGCCGATTGCTACGTAATCCTCGTACATGGTCGGGCAGCAATGATAAACTGATTACGTCCGAAAGGCAACAAAAGGCTCATGATATTTAAATTTTGATTTCAAGTCAGAGATTCGACGTGCGCCTGTTTTGGCCCTGAGGGCATCAAAACTCTCAAAAACGGCCTCCCGTTAATGGGGGTTCAAGTCTTCCATAATCTTTAATCGTCCGGATCTCAGCTTCCTAAACTTCTCTACACTCTCCATTTTTGTCGCCAGAAGTAACAAGTGCGCATCACCCCGAGCTAAGTCTTGACATATAGAGTCGTCTTCATTTCCACCCGAAACAGCAATCGCTTGATGGTAAAAAACGCACTCACTTCTTTTTTGTCGACTTTACATCCCCAACTACTTTGCTTCCAAGCTATGAGGGATAAGGCAAAGATTTGGCCACATATATTTGGATAAACTAACAAATGTTGGTTTTCCACTGTAACCAAGCCGGATGCAGCCGTGGGCAAAGCCATCCAATGGAATATTTACGTAAGCAGTAAGTGGCACCGCATGAGCTCAACGAGACAATGAGATGAGTTTATGTAGATTGAAAAGATGCTTGAGCGTGTAATAAGACACTCTGTGGCAATTACCCCTGGGAAAACAGACAAATGTTGAGTTAAGTACTCTCGAATGCCAAGCATGGGCTTCAGCCAAAACTGTTCAGAAATTCAAATTTCGAGGAGACCAAATGTTTCTTTAATCTATTCCTATTAGCAAACCTTAGAGTGTTAAATTCCTTAAAGGAAAAAACCCACGCGTGCTAATTTCCTATTTGTTTATGCCTATTGTTATGTGTGGAACCACACTTTGGACCATCCGACTGTCTCGAGATGCCTAACGCTGCCAACAGAATCCCTACCGGTTCAATGCTGTGTACTTGAGGGAAAATCTGCGCCGGTATTTTAACCCCGTATTTCTATCGCAAATTATTTTCGTTTCTGGCCTACAAAAGTTATTGCTACCGTCTACCATGTCATTGTTCTGTCTTCTGCACCCTTTTGTCTGTTGTTTCCCTTCTTTACGATGGCATATGCGGTCGTGCGTCGATGTCTGTGTCACCCTAATATGACCACCTGAGTTCTACACAGGACACTAGACATCCAAATTGTTTAGAAAGCCCGGGTAGTTCCTTCCAGTACACGCCGTTCAAATGTTATTCTATGGAATCAGCAACCCTTGTGGAATGGTGGAATACTATACGAAAGTCCGCGGATTGAGTCTTGCATCATGAACTTCCAGACTTCAATCAGGAATGGTTTTGTTATGCTGGCCGCATGGGCGGTCTTTGAAGATAACACCTCATTGTGATTGGGCGGCGCTTTAAGTGTTTTTATCGCGGAGATGAACCGTTCCGTAGCAAGGCTGGCCTCCTTCTGTAAAGTGTTGTCTACAGCAAGGCAAGCCCAGTCCGTAAGAATAAAATACTTGATGGTCAACCGTTTTAGACGTTTAATTCGACACATCTGCTCACTCACCGTTTTTTCCGGCAAATAAACACACTATCATTTCCTGTTGTTCCGGTCAACCCGTGCCGCCGTTTCAGTCATGGCCCGCCACTAACAAAACCTATGATCGAGGACAGAGTCCTACTTGTCCTACGCTTATATGACAAAGTTGACGGAGAAAAAGTAAGGCTCTACCGACTTCACAGTGTCACGCTTTTCAGTTGAACTTGAAGTCAGACTTGAAAAAGGATTTTGGACTTGACAGCCTTGATATGGTGGAAGTCGTAATGGCAATGGAAGAAGAATTCATGTTCGAAATCCCAGACTCAGATGCCCAAAGGTTTAACATGCCCCTGGACATTGTTCAGTACATTTGCGACAAACATGATATATACGACTAGAATCCACGTTAATATTCACCTCCACCCTCATGGTCCGTGGCCGGCTTTAGTCATTTAGTATATTTTAAAATATATTTTGAAGTAAAATTGTCTTTTCTTGGATGTGTTTATTTCTAAAGGGTCATAAGTGATTATGAATTCGTAGATGAGTTCGGAATCTGAGGAAGAGGACCTGCCGCCAGACTTGCGTCATAATCCCGAAGAAGTAAGTTAAACAGTTGAATAGCTTACAGCAGTCCTTCGAGTTTTTGTTTTGCTACGATGACAGACGAGCCACTGCCGAGACAACATACTTTCTTTAGTAGATAGCAGTCATCTTTTCTTAATGCGAAGAGGCCGTAGACACCGGCCCATTCTGTCTTTTCGTGTCGTATTACTGTGGCAAAACAGTTACTCTGATTAGGCGCAAATCACCCCGCAGTAGCATGTGTGGTTATTTGGGGCGTATCACACATACTAGAGGCATCCTATCTACTGCCGATTATGCATAGGTGGTTTCGCTCACACCCTATTAGTTTCAGATGATTGGCGATATTAACCACTGTCCACGGGGCAGTTACGCAGCGCTACGTTGGTAGCCATTCATACGGCTTTGTAGACCCGGCTATGATAGTTACATTGTACCACTTTCAATGTTATTTGAGTAAGGTCAAGCAAAGCATCTGTGCTGTTGATGGATCTGTCGGCGAGATTAACCCATGCCATCTAGACGAAGCACATTACCGTTAATTATTCTTGTCCATTGAAAATATTTTTCACGAAACTGCTATTTATTTGTGCAGCACATTCTTGAAATCGGCTTATCTCGTTCTCACGTTTTTATTCACCCATATCTTACGCGCACTGTCGTTTGCTTACCATTGAAACGCTATCGATTAAACCCCTGATTTCACTGAGAATCTGCGCTCCTCTGCCTGGACTGGACTCTCAATTTGGATACCCGTCATTGAGGTTTACCCTGCAGTTATTTGGTCCTCAGAAAATTGGGTATGGAGCATACATCGCCTAGAGCGAAACTGAGATCGAATAGGGTCGCCGCCGCCACCACCCAGTAGATAAAGCCCCCCCCCTTGCACCTTTCGACATTGAAGTCTGTCATGAAAGCCGCTTGTCCTTCATTTCGTCTTGCCTCAAACTTCTTCTCGGGTATCTTTCAAGTTTCACTGACTGCGAACATTTCTACTGTAGGCACATCAAGCAATATCATACTCACCAAGTTTTCCATGAAGTATATACGAGCGGTGTTCCGTTATGAAGCCCAAAGAACCATTTTTTGAAATTGCAGAAAACATTAACGCGAGCCGATGTCATGTTCACACTCCGTCAGTCCAGACTAAACGCTATGAAACTTCATTACTGCATGACAGTGCGAGTTGCATAGATATTCGACACTTACTTCCTCAGATTGTTTGCCTACACGGGGATGCCTTACAAAGTAGATGTTGTCGTCTTATCCCTGTTTGGTGTCTTTGATGAGACCTTATTAATTTTCAGATTATGCGGGCTAAAGAACGGAACCCAGGAATGTTTGTGAGTGCTTGGCAGGCCGATGAGGAGGACATTGACCAGTGGACAAGGAAGCAAATTAGGCGTAAGAACTCTCCTGCAACATATGCCACCATTTACTCGATTTTCTACCACTGCGATTTCCATATTCAACAGCGGCCACCCCTTCCCAAAAGTATACTGAGACTGACCAAGGGGCTAAACGGGAAAAAATGAACTATGCCCTATTTGATGTTCTGTTTTCTTCGATACACAGAAAGTCTCTTCAGAGGCGACTGCTCATCAGCCTCCGGAGATAGCCTAGTTAGACCGGTCGAAAAATAACTCTTCTACTCATCTGCGTTTCGCTTCTCGAGTTCGCAATTTCCCATATTAGTTCGCGACTAAGTTCTAGCCTCACCTCATTAGTCAAGCCAAGTTGATACTGACCGATTCTGGTGCCATTTATTGTCGCCCTACGTTACTTATTACAGTATGGTACTGTTTGTACGAGCAGCATCAAGCGATGTCCACCAGCTGGCCAACCTCTAACTGGCCACCTGCAGCTTGCTGAGACCTCTAAGGACAGTGACGAAGATTCCTGCAACACAATATAAGACCACTGCCAGCTTTCCTTGCTCAGATAGCAAATCATCTTCTGTCGACCAAAATTATCGCCATGATCAAGGCCTACCGTCGCTCCACCACTGCGCGCTTTCTGGTTGATGACAATCTCCAACCGTTCGATATCCGATCTGGTGTTCGACAAGGTTGGATTCTGTCGCCTATTCTGTTCAACTGCGCCGTCGACTGAATTCTCGAAAGGGCCCTACACGGTTTTGATGGTGTTACGTTTACACCCGGACGCCAGCTGATTGATCTAGACTACATTGACGGTATCTGCTTATCATCTCCTCAAGCCTTGATGATTTAGTCTGTGGTGTTTGAAGTCGCTATTTCGGTTGGTTTATCCATAAACGTCGGGAATATCAACCCGTTTACAAGCTACATTCCTGACCAGGTGGAGGCAGCCCTCGGGACTAATGGCTGTAAACTTGAAGGAGTAGATAGTTTCGAATACTTCGAGCGAGGCTGCTGTCCAATGAACGTAGTAAACACGGCTTTGCCCCCCGAATCAGTGCTGCCCGCAGGGTTTTCCCAATCCTTGGAAAGTGCTTATAAACCCACGCGATATCTCCATCGCCTCAAAGATCTGCATGTACCGTTTATCTGTCATGTCAGTCCTCTGCGGTTGTGAATGTTGGGCTTTGCACATGGAAGATGGGTAAGAAGACGGGAGGTATTTAACCACCACTGTCTGAGGACCATCCCCCGAGTAAAGTACACCGACTTCATCTCATATCAGACAATATCGCGAGGATCTCTCAGGCCATCCAAGAAATTCGGCGTCCTCCGTCGTCCATGTCACGAGCTGAATTACACTGCCATCGATCCGGCGCCGCTGCCTACCTGGGAGTGTCCAAGAGGAGGTCATCTTAAGACCTGGCTCGACACGACTCATCAAGACATGGAAGTGTTTTTTCGGATTTTCGGTATTCGGTCTCCGTCACTGAAGTAGAGAATAGGTCTAACTGTCCAGATCCGCTGCCTCAAATCACCATGCCTGCAAAGGCACAATACGTGACATCATCGAGACCGCCTAGATCAGGCATGACTACAGCCGTCCCAAATGCAGTCGACACCCTCAAAAACAACGAGCTCAACTGTAATCTGCTTTTACGTTCTCCCCGACTGGATGTCGGTACATTCTTGCGGCATTTACCCGTATTTTCTTTGTGTCCTTTTGAGCATGCTCTCATTAGCACAAAAAGATGTTGTGACAGCTTAGCTCACGCAAGCTCCCTTAGCCTTTTCGATCGATTAGGTGTTTCGCTGTCAGCAAAAGACGCGATGTGCATGTTTCGCGCACTGACTACAGTGACATGTTTTCAAGGACAGACCTTTGCTGACCACAAAGAGATTTGTTTGACTTCTTGCGCAAGTTCCTTTACCAGATTTTTACATAGGTGGTCAGTCCGATAAGTCGAGAATTGAAATTAAAAAAAACGCGAACTCTTTGTTCGGCGGGAACGATCGGGACCAGGTGTTCAGCAGTTCAAATTTGTTTCCTCCCACCTCCTAACAGGTAACGTACTTTATCTCAGGAGCTCAGACGCTCCAGTTATTCCAGAGACGTGAACAACGGGGTAGTTCGCTACTTTGCCAGAACCCAACGGCCCACTTCGATCACCATTTGGGTCAGGTTTCCCGTTCAAATCTGCCTCCAGTTACTAATTTGTGTTTTGACCTGTCTAGAAAACATTTATAATTCCAAAATTAGGCTATCTTCGAGTTAATTTTAAGATAAGCACATTGGTAAGTCTGGAAACCTGTAACGTAGCTCCACTCAATTTCTCCCTCACGATTTTCCGTTCACCTCGGTTCTTCTTGAGCCCACTTATATACGTTCACCAATTGTGTGCAAACTTTGTCAGTCCCATGGATTCCGAAGGATCTGAGTAAGGCTTCCAAGGTTTCCTTCAAACGCTTTTCCTGTACTCTATCTGCGAGAACCTGTTGTAGCGCCTCCATAAAGTGGCATTTGCTGCTAGCCTGCTCGGCTCTGTACGGCACCGCATCGTCTAATTTGTCATCATGTCTATTGCGCCTGTACTGCGCCGCGTTGTCACAGGGTTCTGAAACCCAATCACCTTTTTTCTCTGCCTGTGTATTTCTAGCGAAATTCAAGCTTTTCCGCATGTGCATGCGTCCTCTTGTTAGGAGATCGGAGGAAACAGCTTGTGGTGGCCGCTGAACGTGGCGATATGGACGCTCTTCGCAGCAATCTGGCCAATCTCACCCCGGCCGAGAAGGAGGAATTCCTCCTTTTTACCGACGATGACGGCTACACCGCCCTTCATCGGGCTGCCTATGGTGGTCACTACGATGCTGTCGAGGTGAGTATGCCTTACGCACTCTGTTTTTTTTTATTTCCCTTCCCTCATTTGACAGAGGACACCACGCTCCTCGTCCTTTGCTGTATGATTCGTGCCTCAAAATGATTCACTGCCTTTATGTAGCTTAATGGCGGTCCGTTTTGGCGAATCAAGCATAGTACGAACAAGATGGCAATTTAGAACCTAGTCGACTATAAAATAGAGCCACTATGTGTCGCAGGGAGAAGGCGGCGAACTGCCCTTCTGGGCATCACGGAAAAGAAAGATCGACGCTGATGCCGGTCGTTTTCTTCTCACTACAATCTGAGTTCACGCATTGGGTACCCTTATTCAAATTAGGGGTTCTAGAGGTTTGCTGGGTTTCAGTCCTTTATTCGACAGACCGCATTACGCGCGTCAAGTCGAGTGGAAATGCCACCGACTCGTTTCTCCATTCCTAATTGCCGAAGGTAATACGATTTGTTGATCAACTTGTCTTCAAGTAATCCGGTTTCTAATGGGTCGACTGGCATGGGCTATAAGAAGTCGTGCCCGCGCGCCGCAGCCTGTGGATTTCATACTCGGACATACATCAATTGTGGTCGTACCTGTTACCCGCAAATTCAGGCACACTGAAAGGGTCATCTATGAATTATTAATCAATGGCTAAGTACCGCTCATCTCAACCGATATGACAGGGGCACTGAGCACAGCGGTGAGAGTCGTAGTTGAGAATTAACTAAACGGTTCAAGCCCTAAGTACTCAATCACCTGATTTTGAGGGGTAGAAGTCATATAAGCCCGAAATGACTTCCAGCGCCCCCGAACTTGAGGGAGAGAGAGGGAGGGAGGAATGCGCTTTATTTTGAAATCATGTGTTCAAAATTTTCAGCAAAAGGTTGGCTCCATTCACTATGGGCAGTAAATAAGTCAATAGATTATTCAAGAGTCAAAGTTTAACCCAAAGAAACGATTATTATGGGGATAGTTCAAGTCTTAGCTTCTGTATTTCTGTCTCTTCGCACGTAAGATAGCGCGCTAGGAATGGCAATACAGAAACTCGATAAGCCGATGTGCGACAGGATATAAGACGGAAGTTGCGGCGCATCGGCCGGGAAGACTTGGCAGACATAAGATCGAATGTAGGGGATGGGCAACGTCATCTAGAATTCGACCAGCAAATTGCTTGACCGCATTGAAGTGTCGTTGTAAGATAGTGTCAACTGATTCTTGTTCCCATGCGGCCGCCTGCATCGGCCGTACTCCCAGTTCCAAGACAGTATTTGGGTGCCCGCATTCCGCCCACGGGCAGGATAGATCGGTTCACATCGCCCCTATGTGAATTTCCGCCGGTACTTCAAGACATCAGTGCTTCAGTCCTCTTCAAATGTAGAGCGATACGTGTGTCTTCACGTTCATATCCTTCCCCTGTTGCCTTCAGTATCTTCTGAGTGAGGGCGCCAGGGTCGATACGCGCAGCGTTGATGGCTGGACTCCACTGCACAGTGCCGCCTTCTGGAATCAGACAGCCTGCGTCCAGCTTCTTCTTGAAGCCGGCGCCGATTGCAATGCCCGTAAGCTCCTCCAAAAAAGCGCATTTTAATTAATGCCTAAATATTGTTTACTCATGCCCTGCTCAGTAGTTGGGTTTTTTCAATTTTCCGTGCCCGCTGCTGCGGGTTCCACAATTTTCTGCGTTTGCTTTTTTTAGTCACAAACAGTAATCAGTCCCTGTTGCATCTCGCGGTATCCAATAATACGACAGTGGAGACCCTTTGCTATTTGCTGGGGCATCCAAATATCAACGTAGATGTGAAGAACAGTGGGGGCGATACTCCGGCCGATCTCCTCAAGCGAAGCACCTCGCTTTCATATTTGCTCCATCCACTGACCGCTGAGGCCACCCATCTCCTCCCGCCCAAATAAACATATTTCTACCTTTTCCTCTTTTACGCATTCGGCCTTCCTGAAAGGCGCTGCGTCTTCTGCTTTGGGGTTTTGCGGTCAGTGTGTCCCTTCCCGAGTACACTTTGTTGGAGTGCACCTTAACGCGCCTTCGTTGGGGGTTTTCAATAAAGTGCTGCATCGCTGATGTGTTCAACCTAAGCAGGAATCACATTGGCTAATGACCTTTGTTAGTCGGGCTATGCTTCGTCTGCATGTGACCCTAGATATTACCGCGAATGTGTGTAGAACGCGGTAGGTAGAAAGTGCAGCCAATGCGGAGCAGGACTGCATACTAACGACATGTCAGAGCATTTCTCAGTGTAATAAATCGGGCGTATATTAGCACATTTGGAGTAGATGGCAGAAGCCCTTAAAACTCAATTGGAACGGTACAGGTGTACATGGAAAGTATTTGCAAGGGATTTTACGCGTGCTTTTAGTGCGCAGAATGTATAAAGCTAATGGTTTAACGTAAATGTGGAAAGGTTGTGGCATTTGCTAGATAACGACGAGAGACACGTAAACCGCATTCGCAGTAAGAGTTAATGCACACAAAAGGGTCTGTTGAAATCATGTAAGTAGCGTGTCTATAGTCATTTCGGCAATCCGCCGGCAAAGAATTCCATTGAATGACTGCGAGAAAAAGGAGAAACGTTGATTGGTGTGACACAGTTCCTTCTCGAGCTGTCAATCGCGTCGTCAGAGACTAGTTTTTGGTGCCATTTCAAAGAGGGTTTCCCAGTTGACATAAAGATCAAGTCTTAACAACCGAAATGCTGCAGTAAGGTCATCTCTGTCCTGTCTGTCGTGGAGGGGATAGAGCTTTAAAGCCGTCAGGCGCTGCTCGTGCGTAAAGTTTTCGAGTTCATGAACAGCCTTTGCAGCGCATCTCTGTACACCTTCAAGAATATCTATATCCTTCCGAAGCCACGACCGCAAAGCCTGCACTGCATATTCCATGTGTAGCCGCAGTATTGTTCAATCAAATTTTTCATGATTATTTTGAAGTTTCTCCAATGTTCGTTGATATCTCCTCGCAATACTTCGAGAAAATTACGACAGGAAGTCCTGTCATAGGTGTGGAGTAAGTGACTGGGAGAGGATGTGCCGACCACGTTCGTTGCCCTTACTGGTCTGCAGGGGAGTTTTCCAACGCAGGTGTCTTGCACTTGCACGGAGATTGACAGCGATGGGCGTTAGATTCATATTTATGATGATACCAACAGAAAACATCAACTGTAGGTTTGTTTGGAGTGAGAGATCTCGGGCGGCAAGTTCTTGCAGGACTACGAGGGCTATAGACACGAGTGACCCGGAGCTGAGAAACTTCGAGAGTGAGAGCATCCAGGCGTTTGACGACATCCTCGATTGTGGGGGCAGTTGTGCTTCGACTAGCGACGTTTACCATAACAGGAGGCTGGTAGTACTCGAGTATACGGTCAGCAGTCTCCGCGAGCATCTGAACAGTCGAAGGAATGTTAGGCGCAAGGATGGCTTGCATAGACAGAGACAACCGTTGGGGAAAAAGTTGCTTGAATATGGTGGCATCCAGCTTTTGTCCGTCTGCCAACTGCTCCAAACGCCTAAGAAGCTGCGTAGGCTTCCTGTCGCTGAGGTCCTTCTCAGAAATTAAACGTTGCAGACGTTTTTTATGATGCCGCGGTGGTCCGTGGCGATATCCATTGGGAGTGTTGCCACAACATAGTGAAACTTTGTATCCTCTCGTGTAATCTGACGGAGGACGAAACGGGACTCTACAGTGCGCAGCCACAACGCGATGTCACCTAACTACACAGATGGAAGGTCAAAGGTGTGAATGCCGACTAGTAAAATCGTTGGACATAACTAGTTGAGGTCGGTCAGAGGTCAGATAACTGAGGTAGAGGACTGGCGCGTCGCCAGCGAGATTGAAGGTTAGCACTCGTATTGGATGAAGAGGTGGGACAGCGTGACTAGCAAACAAGGGCTGGATAAATAATCTGCTCAATAAAAAGTAAAGCGAGGATTAATCCGAATGGAAATAGTTATGCACAGAAATTAAACAGAAGGGGCTACGAACGACATGGGGTCACCAGTGTAAGTGATAAACCCCTTAGTTGGACACAGTGAGTAGGCTACCTGAGAAGCGAATATAGCAGTATTCCAACAGCTAAAAACTACTAAATAAGAGCAGCAGGTAAACATGCACGTGCTTGTTCTATGTTTTATTCAAAGTTGTGTCAGGTTTTTTAAAAAGCGTATTGTAACTGATTAAAACAAAACGGACTTAAATGTCACTACAACCTTGTTCTAGATGGTTGTTCAGACGGTTGAGAAGGATGCGAGCAAAGATTTTCCCGGCGATGTTCAGCAGGGAGATGCCTCGGTGGTTGTGGCAGAGCTGGCAGTTCCCCTTCCGCTTGTTAGATGCACTACCGTGGCGTCCTTTAAATCCTGCGGGATCCTCCTTGACGCCACATCTCCTCGAAGAGCGCCGTCAGGCGATCCATGAGTTGGGGGCCATCGTACTTGTAGATCTCAGCAGGGATCGCGTCCTATCCGGACGCTTTCCCACTGGAGAGCGGCTACACGGCCCTGATGATTTCGTGGGGAGATGGCGGGAGGTCGAGGTCCACGTTGGTCTCCATTTGCGGTAGGCGGGCAGTTGGAGCGTTGGAGATGGTGCAGGGGCGGTTGAGGATACCTCGTTTCGGTCTGCGTACCCTTGGATCTCCTCGGCCTTGCGAGTCGTCCAGGCATCCTTCATCTCGCGCAGCCGCTGCTGTCCAAGTCGGCTACTACGGTAGAATGTTGTTTTGTTGTCGTCGTTGGAGTGGTCGACGTAGGCTTTGTGCAGTCGGTTTTCCTCGGCGATCAGATTGCTGATGACGGCGTCGTTGTCACCGAACTAGTCCTGCGGCTGACGACATGCGAGTCCGAGGACAGCCATCGTCGTTGCCTGGACTGTATTTCGCAGTTTATACCGTCGGTTCTCCCCGGAGGCGTTCTTATCATCATCATCAGCATCATCATCATCATCATCATCATCATCATCATCATCATCATCATCATCATCGGTGGCGACATCACGGACCGATCGGTTGTCTAGCCGTCGAGCTAGCTCGCTGCTGAAGTGGGGATGGCGAGCAGGCAAAGACAACAAAGCAATATTCTGCTTACCTGGAGATCGCTTACCTTAAGGCTTCCTGCGAGACTGTAGACTAATCCGCATCTCGGAGATGACGAGGCGATGTTCGGTCCACCCGTCAGTACCCGCAATCGCTTTTGTCACCAGCGCGCCCCCCTGGCCTCGCCTCGGGACGAGGACATAGTCCAGCAGGTGCCACTGACGCGACCGAGGATGCATCCAGGTGGCCTTCTCTCCCAATGGGAGGCGGAAGAAGGTGATCGTCAGGATGCGTCAGCGTTCGCCGCAGGTTCGTATAAGGAGCAGGCCATTGTTGTTGGATTTGTTAAGACCATGGGGACCCGGCACTCCTCTCCAGGCAGCATGGTCTGTGCCGACTCGGACGTTGAAGTTACCAAGGACAATCAACTTATACGCCTGCATCACAGTCTCCAGGAGGGCATGCAGATCCTCGTAGCATTTGTCCCTTGCGGCGTAGGGGCTGGTCATCGGCGGAGCGTAGACGCTGATGATGGTGGCGAATTC